TATATACTGTGTGCGTGTGTGCATATGTGTATATATATGAATGAATGAGACACACATGACTTTTTAGAATGACTAGAAGTGGGTCTTATTCAGGGTATTGATCGTGCTGGGTGTATTACAAGGTTCTGATGAATACCATCCACAGGGCACACATAAAGCTTCATGCTGTCGCCGGACCGATCAATGATCTGTGATATTTCCTGTAATGAGCCCGATGCGCAATACTCACCCCGCCGTATATTCTGAGTAATCTCCCTTCTATTCGGCCTTTTTATTAATGATCTGGTAGATGGGGAACTTTTCTATTTTTGACGTTGATTTAAAACCCGTTGCACCAAGTTACAGGAGATGCTGGTGGTTTTCTCTCGTTCTGAACGACAGCTCATAGAATTTGTGTGGACTTCCCCAGAGGAGACACAGCAATAAAACCTGACTGAGGATCTAAACTCACCCCCCTGGTGCCTAACCTGCAGCTTGGGGGGTCAGATCTGGCCCTTTGGCACTGATTGTGTGGCCCTTGGGGCCTCTGCAGACAGTACTCTGTCTTTCTTTCCTAGAATCTCACTCCGTGAAGGAAACATTTTCTTTAGACCGGATTTTAGTAGTTAAACGTTTTGCTTTATTTCTTTCACACTTCATTGTTACTGCTGCTCACCCTGTTCTCATTTTTGTTTCTTTCTTTAACCTCCTATAATGGATCTGCTGAGAGAAATATTCAATGTGACAGAAGTGATGAGACATAAGTCAGCTGTACGGAGCGCAAATGTGGAAACATTGATTTTGTAAAGGGGCTGTAAGGGCAGTGTCATGTAATGTGCTTCCAGTCTACTAGGCCCCGGGCGCCCGCACCGCCTGCACCGGCGGTAGTTCCGCCACTGAGTCTACGACTTTCTCTTGTAGCGTGTCCCCAGTCTGCAACAACTCCTATATCATGTTTACTGTCGCTGACCATCTCTTGCAGCATGTCTACAGTCTCTAATCATCGCTTGCAACGTGCCCCTAGTCTCTGATGGTCTCTTGCAGCATGCCTATAATATCTGACCATCTCGTGTATCATGCCTGTATTCTCTGACCATCTCTTGTAGCATGCCTGTCTTCTCTGACCATCTCTTGTAGCATGCCTGTAACAGGGACGTGCGGTCAGGGGAGGCAGATCCTCACCTAGTATTATGAAGGAAAAAGCTGTCAGCTTCAAGTCTGAAGCTGACGGCTTTTTCTCCATTCAGATTGGCTTGTAACAGGTTAGATATCGGGGAAATCCTCCCCGCTGTGTAACCTGTCATGGACGAAGCACTGGATGTTAATTACAGTCAGTGTTGCATCCGGCTGTTGACAGAAAGCTAGGTTACACATTAGCGGGCTTCCCCACTGCTTGTGTAACTTAACTTGATGAGGCAAGGGCTGTCACAGCCTCTACTCTGTTAGAGGCGTGAGCTCTATGGATGGTTTGGACCAATGGCAAAGCGCCATTGGTCCAAGCTGTCCAATAAAAAAAAAAAGATAAAAAACCCACTGAGGCCATCGATCTTGATGCCTCAGCAGTGACGAGCAAGTGAGGGAGACTCCTCCCTCCTTCACACATAGCTTGGTGTTGGGGGTGGGATGGCAGGGGAGCTAGGGGTGGGGTGGAGGCGGGAGCTAAGAGCGGGCAGGGGGAAGTGCCTCACCTAGAATGGACTCCACTGTACATCATGTGTGCAGTCTCTGGCCATCTCTTGTAGCATGTGTGCAGTCTCTGGCCATCTCTTGTATCATGTGTGCAGTCTCTGGCCATCTCTTGTAGCATGTGTGCAGTCTCTGGCTATCTCTTGTGTCATGTGTGCAGTCTCTGGCCATCTCTTGTAGCATGTCTACAGTCTCTAGGCCATCTCTTGTAGCATGTGTGCAGTCTCTGGCCATCTCTTGTATCATGTGTGCAGTCTCTGGCCATCTCTTGTAGCATGTCTGCAATCTTACAGTTTTCTGTAGCATTACAGTTATGGAATATAATGTGTGGCCCTTTGGTGATGTCAGGGGCCACACTTGAGGCCCACTTTATAAAGAAGGTTGACCTCCACTAGTCTAACCCCCACATCGCCTCCCATGAAATAAGAAATCGCTAGGTCTATTATAATGATGAGAACAAGCTACAGCCAACTTCCTTCCAAGAATTGGGTTAATTGCTCTGCAGGTGAATCTCTCATTCGGAGACCTGCACCTGACTCAGCTGTAATAAGTGATGGATTCTCATGGGGAACGTCTATAAAATAACATTGCGCAATCATTGTGCCAGAACTGCTGAACATTGGTATTCGGAGGATTCCCCATTCGCTGGTTGACTTCCACTTGTCTGAGTCATCTCCGACTTTTACTGCCGTGTGTTTGTTGTTTTAAACATTATTGTGTTCGTATTACTGTAATATGGCTCGCACCATTACCCAGAATCCCCTGCTCTGAACGCACCTGAAAAACCAGTTTCCCGTGTGTGGGTGGAAGTTATAATTTCACAGACTGAGAACAGCTGATGCCACTTCTGAATTCCTTCATATGATTACCTGGGATGTGTTAAGGTGCCCATACACCTTACGATTATCGGACGATAATCGTATGCGATCGACTTTTCGAACGACAATCGTACGTGTGAATAGAGTGCCCGAACCGATAGTACTGTACAATCGTACGACTTTTGACGGTCAAGCATGTTTGAAAACTTTGCTCGATCGTACGATTGTCGTAAGGTTGCTGGCGTTTCCGTCTGTCAAAAGTCGTACGATCTACACTGCGCATGCGCAAACGAAAATACGACAAATCAATTACCGCATTTCGTCCAGGTGCTTCTCGTTAATTACGGCTAAATTAATCTTGCGATCATCGGGGCAGGATGGGGCTGCGGTACATAAATCGTACGACTATTCTATCATCGGACGAAACGTTTCGTCCGATAAGCATAAGGTGTATGGGCACCTTTAGGGCTTGTTCACACCATTTTCTGGTCCAGATCTGCAGACGCGGTGCATAGCGTGCAGCGCGTTTTTGATGCATTTTTACCGTGTTCCGAACGCCTTCCAGTTTGGTTTTTTTTTGGGGGGGGGGGGCTGTCAGTATGCAGATTCTTGCTCTGCGGTCACTTCCAGCATACAGTAAAGGCAACATACATGTGATATCACTCACCGCAGTCATGCTTTTGCTCACTATTGAACAAAGCAAAATCTTCATGGAGCTTGGAGGCAATCTCTCTCCGCGTCTCATTTTTCTGATGCACATTTTTATATTGGGGATGCCGAGGGTCATAAAGCTGTGGCGCATGCTCCACCAAACCCACAAAACGTTCTGTGTCCGGGGACATGTTGCTCAACTGTACAGGGTTCCCTTCTGCTGCTCCACCACAAACAGGAAGTACAACGGTGATAAGATCATCAAAAGTGGAACAAGAATACACTTTTTTTTTTCGGTTAGCTGCAGTGTGGTGCATTTCCGGCGCGTTTTTGTTGCGTTTTTTACACGTTCCGGAGCATAAAAAAATGTGACATGCGGTATTTTTTCTGTCCGGAACAGAAAGCAGTGCACTGGTGTGAACTGCAGCCCAGAAAACTCATAGGGATACATGGTGATGCGTTTTTAGTGCAGGAGCTAACTGTTCTGGTCTGGACAGAATCTGGACATCGTGTGAACAAGCCCTAGAAGCGTATCTCACACAAAGGCAAACGTCTTATATATTGCAGCTTACCAGTCCTTAGATGTGGCGGCTGCATTAGTTTTCTTGTTTTTAGTATTTTTTCCTCTTTATATTCTCCTGGTGATCCGGCCAATAAGTCTGTTATTTTTCACCTTCCCTTACCAGGCCAAGCTGACCAGCAAAAGTGGCGGATCGAGGGTTGGGGCCAAACCACTTAACACTGACAGGGAGGGGCTTACAATGGTCAGCTTTTATTTATATAAAACCTTTATCCAAGAGGGAAAAAAACTGTAAGGGCTCCTTCACACCAATTGCGTTGCGTTTCAGAGCGGGAACTGCTGGAACGCACCGCAATCGCTCACAAAACGTTCCCACTTCGTTCTGGGGCGGGAGGGGGCGTGGCGGTGCATTGAAGTCAATGGCACCGCAGCCACGCCCCCCCTGAAGTGCGATCAGACGCGTGGCAAAACATTGCCTGCGTTCCGTTCCACTGCAAACGCAAAAAAAAGAGCATGCAGCATCTTTCGCGTTTGCAGTGGAACGGAACGCAGGCAAGCATCCGATCGCACTGCAGCCGGGGGGGGAGGGGGGGTTTATGGCTGCGTGCCATTGACTTCAATGCACCGCCACCCCCCCCTCCTGCCCCAGAACGAAGGGGGAAGTTTTGTGAGCGTTCGCGGTGCGTTCCAGCAGCTCCCGCTCTGGAACACAATTGGTGTGAACAAGCCCTAACTGCTTCAAAAGTGTTATGTGGAGTTCAGATTTAATGTGTTAGTCATTTCCATCTAAATCTACTAGAGCACCTGACATCGCCCTCCCCACAGGGTGACAGTGCTGCTGTCCGGCTCCTTTTGCTCCTCCATAGATTGGAGCCACCATAACATGGGAAATGTGTTCCTGGCCGGATCACCAGGTGAAAATCGAGGGGAAAAAAAAAACCTAAAGAATGAAAACAAATGCAGACACAACGTCTGAGGCCCGGTAATCTGCAATATATGACATTTCTTTTCTTGGGTTTAGATACGTTGTCAATATCTGATCACTTCTGATACAAGTTCTCGAGTGTTTGTATTTACAGGGATCTCAAGTCTCTCTGATGTTCAGGGAGTCTCCCTCTATTAGATAGCGGCTCCCTGAGGTCTGCGAGGGAGACACTTTCTCCCTGAAAGGTTTACTCTGAGTAAACCTTTCCGATAAGATTTTAAGAAAGGGCAACTCCCTGAAATGAGACGGGAACCCCCCTGAAATAAGGTTTTGCAGGTTGGGATGTCTGTATTTAGGACATGTGTCCTGATATGTCTGTTACCGTAACACTCAAGTATTTCCTGTGCTCTGCCGTGTCTAGGTCATATACGCGGTGGTGAAGAATGTTCTCTGCGGTGAAGCCCTTCGAGAACCAGGATTATTACAGCTTGAAGAAAGAGTGCCAGAAGAAGAAGGTTCTCTTCGAGGACCCGCTCTTCCCAGCCAACAATGATTCCCTGTTCTACAAGACGCAGCGGGTCCAAGGAGTGCAGTGGAAACGCCCCAAGGTAAGCCGAGACCATGGGAAGGGGATTCCAGATACAAGGCCATTTTAACTTTAGATTTTCCCAATCTTAGAGGGTCGGTACAATGCCAGGAGTGAATAGGGGGTGTGCCGGAATACTGGTAGACGTATACTGGGAGTGAATAGGGGGTGTGCCGGAATACTGGTAGAAGTATACTGGGAGTGAATAGGGGGTGTGCAGGAATACTGGTAGAAGTATACTGGAAGTGAATAGGGAGTGTGCAGGAGAAGTATACTGGGAGTGAATAGGGTGGTGTGCAGGAATACTGGTAGAAGTATACTGGGAGTGAATAGGGGGTGTACAGGAATACTGGTGGAAGTATACTGGGGGTGAATAGGGAGTCTGCAGGAATACTGGTAGAAGTATACTGGGAGTAAATAGGGGGTGTGCAGGAATACTGGTAGAAGTATACTGGGAGTGAATAGGGAGTGTGCAGGAATACTGGTAGAAGTATACCAGGAGTGAATAGGGGGTGTGCCGGAATACTGGTAGAAGTATACTGGGAGTAAATAGGGAGTGTGCAGGAATACTGGTAGAAGTATACTGGGAGTGAATAGGGGGTGTGCAGGAATACTGGTAGAAGTATACTGGAAGTGAATAGGGAGTGTGCAGGAGAAGTATACTGGGAGTGAATAGGGTGGTGTGCAGGAATACTGGTAGAAGTATACTAGGGGTGAAAATAGGTGGTGTGCAGGAATACTGGTAGAAGTATACTGGGACTGAATAGGGAGTCTGCAGGAATACTGGTAGAAGTATACTGGGAGTGAATAGGGAGTGTGCCGGAATACTGGTAGAAGTATTCTGGGAGTGAATAGGGAGTCTGCAGGAATACTGGTAGAAGTATACTGGGAGTGAATATTGGAATCGATAGGTCTATAGGAATCCTGCCCTGTGCACAAGTCTGAAAGGTTTAGAGACACTTGACCTGTAGTTCTCTCCCAGGAGAATGTCTTGTGTCCGGCCTCTGTTCCCCAGCACTGGGATTCTATTTCCTGGGCCATTTCCCATTTCAGGAATCGATGGCAGTCCGAGCAGCGCTGAGCCGATGAAGTGCAAAGTCTTCAGTGTTCCAGGCTGAGTCGGGATTGAATATCAGCGCTGAGTGCATGGAATAAGAATCCTCTGTGCCCTCCGTCTCATCAATATCTTCCATGGCTGTCAGCAATATCTATGGCATTGTTCTGTAGTGGCGCACAGCGTTCTGTAGTGGCGCACAGCGTTCTGTAGTGGCGCTCAGCGTTCTGTAGTGGCGCACAGAGTTCCCCAAAAGAACAAACATTTCACATTCCATGTTTCTTTGACTTATAAAATCAAGCGATCTTTTTATTATTATTATTATTTATTTTTACTGTTGGGGGGCCTTCAGGGGAAATATTGGGGGGCTAAACTGCGTTCTGTAGTGGCGCACAGCGTTCTGTAGTGGCGCACAGCGTTCTGTAGTGGTGCTCAGCGTTCTGTAGTGGCGCACAGCGTTCTGTAGTGGCGCACAGCGTTCTGTAGTGGCGCTCAGCGTTCTGTAGTGGCGCACAGAGCCCCCCAAAAGAACAAACATTTCACATTCCATGTTTCTTTGACTTATAAAATCAAGCGATCTTTTTATTATTATTATTATTTATTTTTACTGTTGGGGGGCCTTCAGGGGAAATATTGGGGGTCTAAACAGATCCCTGACATTTCCCTTTGGAAATAGAAAAAGAAATTGAGGACACAGAGGCTTCCCATTCATTTACAAACCGGCGATAGTAAAATATTTACCATCATCCAGTTATGAAGGGATAGAAGCCTCTATAGTGAGTGCTTCCACCAATTCAGAAACTCATGAATGAACAGGAAGTGATGTAAAACACTTCCTGTTCATTCATAACTGGAGACACATAGTGCTTTTCAAGGCATACTTCTTCAAACTTGAATATTACTGGGATAGCTATAATATTGTTCTTTACCAGCCTTCTATGTATATTTTATCATTAGGTATGGACATGGACTGTTCCGTGTGCAGGCTTTACTTCCTACTTCGTAGTATTGCACAGTACATCACTGCTCCTTTCTTCCTCTATGCATTACATTCTTTTTTTTTTTTAAACTGGAGGATTACTGGGACATCTATCTGTAACCACTGTTCTTTACTGGAATTCAATGTATATTTTTCATTATGTATGGACATGGGCTATTCCATATGCAGGTTCTGCTTCCTACTTAGCTGTATTGCACAGTACATCACTACCCCTTCTTTTTTTTTGTACGGCATTCTTCTTTAAGCTGGAATATTACTGGGAAATCTATAAGTACTGTTTACCAGTCCTTTATACATAGAAGTCCTTTACCATCCTTCTATGTATATTTTATCATTATGTATGGACATGGACTATTCCATAGGCAGGTTCTGCTTCCTACTCAGCAGTATTGCACAGTACATCACTGCTCCTTTCTTCTCTCTGCGGCGTTCCCCTTTAACCCGACACATTACTGGGAAGTCTGTCTATGAGTACAGTTCTTTACCGGCATTGTTAATGAGATCGGGTCTATTGTGCAATCTTGGCAGCGCCTCCCTCGCTAATGACAGCCGCCGTCTGTATCGTGTTTCAGCTCTGCCCTGTCAGCATCGCTAATGGGAGAATGAAAATTAATTTTGGCTTCCCCTCACAAGGCCCTGGCCTCAGGCGCGGAATACTAATGGCTGCTTCTGATGCAGGAATGTTCACTGACTACTATTTATAAATCTCCGCTCACGGATGGATCGTTGTGTTCTGCGGCGGGGAATAAAAACACTTTTCTTTCTGGATTGTCAGGACTGAGTGCTTGCCGGTTAATGCAACTGTATAATGTCTGTGTCCAGCCACTTATTGGGGGGCTACAAGTCCCAGCATGCCCTTCTCAAAGTTGCTTTGCTGATAGATTCTGATTGCCAGGACCTGGAGTGGACAACTTTCAAGTGGACTTTGTGTCTCGGTCCGCTTTTTATTTGTGCCCTCCCTTCCCCCTTGCTGAAACGCTGCAAATTTGAACTCCGATTCGTAAGGGGGAAACCTTGGACGGTGTATTCACCTTTCCCCGAGATTCCGCCCGCCATTCCTGAGCGAGGGTGACGTCATCCTCCTTGCGGCGAGATCTGAGAAGTGAAGAGTACCCCAAATGTTTTGCATTGAGCTTCTTAAGAGGTTTGAGGTGCTCACCATTCCCCGGGATCTCAGCAGCAGGACGACCTCACCCAGTGGCGTCTCAAGGGGTGTACGGGGGGTGTGGCCCACCAGTGGCGTAACAACCGGGGGTGCAGCAGGGGCGCGGGCCCCGGGCGAAAAGTGAAGGGGGGGCGCCGGCCGAAAATGGCACTTTCGGCTAAATGCCGAAAGTGACATTTTACTGCCGTTTTGTCGGCGCGGCCGTGATTCCTTTCATCCCCGCTGGGACACAGAGCAGTGCCCAGCAGGGATGAAAGGAATCAGAGAGAAAATGACAGCCGGCCGAGCGCTGCGGGACGAGCGCTGTGAGCGGCCGGTGTCTTTCCTCCCACACCGCTCGGCCGCCTATCACAGTGCAGCAGAGCGGTGTGGGGGCGGAGACAGCCAGCGCTGTCACAGGAGGCTGGGCTCTCCTCTTGCAGCCTCCTATGACAGTGTGTGTCAGAGAGGAGAACGGGTACAAGCACTCAGTGATCAGTGATCGCTGAGTGTTTGTACATAATTGAGGACCTGGTATGTATACTATATCCTCAATTATGAATGAATGGGAGTGATCTACATCTCCTCCTGTTCATTCATAATTGTAGTTATAGTAAACATACCATGTTATCAATGAACAGGAACACTCATAAAGGATTCCTGTTCATTGATAACAGGGGACACAGAAAAAGAGATTGAGGACTCTGTGTCCTCAATCTCTTTTTCTATTTTTAAAGGGAAATATCAGGGGTCTGTTTAGACCCCCAATATTTCCCCGAAGCCCCTAAAAGTAAAGTAAAAAATAAAAATATTTAATAAAAAATTAATTAATAAATAAAAATTAATTTTAAAAAATGAAAAAGTTTCTAAAAAAATAAAATATTAAAATTTGAAAAATTAAAATAAAAACATGTGTGTGTGGGGGGGAGGTGCAGGGTACAGTTCCAGTGGTTGTTTATATAATGGGGGGGGGCGGAAAAAATTTTCTGCCCCGGGCGCCCAGAACTCTGGTTACGCCACTGTGGCCCACACCGGGTGACACCAAAATGACTTCACAGCCATTTTAGTGGCTCCCCCTCTTAAAAGTTGGGCATTCACTCTTGGACGGACAGCCCAACAACGGCAAGAGAGGAAGGGCATCATATCTGAAGGAGTGGGCATTCCTAAGTAGGATGTATTTGCATGCAGAGTGCCCTAGGTAATGCCCCCATGTGATGCTGAGCTTCCATGAATGGCCGGACTGAAATCCAAATAATGAAAGGGACAGGCCAGGGACAGAGAAGGAAAGCTAGATGATGCTGGACGTCCTCCAGCCTATCTGACTTGCTGCAGCTTCTAATGTACATTGTGAGAAGCTTGCAGTGTGCAGTGATATCAGAGGAAAAGGAGAGGAGCCGGTACAACTGTGCAAGACTGAAGAGGAGGCTGGAGGTCAGATAGAAGACTGAAGGGGAGGCCGGAGGTCAGATAGAAGACTGAAGGGGAGGCCGGAGGTCAGATAGAAGACTGAAGGGGAGGCCGGAGGTCAGATAGAAGACTGAAGGGGAGGCCGGAGGTCAGATAGAAGACTGAAGGGGAGGCCGGAGGTCAGATAGAAGACTGAAGGGGAGGCCGGAGGTCAGATAGAAGACTGAAGGGGAGGCCGGAGGTCAGATAGAAGACTGAAGGGGAGGCCGGAGGTCAGATAGAAGACTGAAGGGGAGGCCGGAGGTCAGATAGAAGACTGAAGGGGAGGCCGGAGGTCAGATAGAAGACTGAAGGGAAGGACGGAGGTCAGATAGACTGAAGTGAAGGACGGAGGTCAGATAGAAGACTGAAATTCTG